ACCGGTAGTTCCATGAACATGTCTCAGACGCTTTTCTCAGACTGTGAAATTTTGCTATACTGCGAATATAAAGTTTTTTACATTATGTCAGGGTAGATTATCAATTCTATTGGTAGAGATTCCAATCAGAGACCAAACCCACACCACTTATTCCTGATGGGAAAAGCTATCTGTCACAAAAAAGTCAAGACCCTAATTTGTTTAGGTCAAAAGATACAATAACTGGAAGTTCTGTTACAGTACCAAGGTCATCCACCAGGAGGCCCAAATTTGACCTTGCCCTTTGTCTTCCTAAGACATTCCAAATATCATAACTTTTTTTATTTATTTATTTCCATTTTCACACACCTGGGTAGCCCAACTCAGCTTTGACAAGTTGATTTTCAGTGGGGCCCAGTTTACAGAAATAATAAAACATAGTTAGACTTAGTTAATACTTGAACAGAAGTAACAGAGAATTGTATGTACAACATAAATAACTCAGGTAACCAAATTATACAAAATAAATACATGAGATTTCTTAGAATCTCACAAAACCGTAGAGAACAAATCAAAATCGTTGTCCGTTACTCAAAAGTACAATCTATAAAGGCTTTCTGAAGTTATGCTGACCACAAAGTTGCGGAAACACACACAGACAAGCCCAAAACAATTACCTCCATTTTTTGTGGAGGTAAAAATTCACAGCTATACCATCAGTTGATCAGAAAAATGCTAGGGTCAGCAAGTTTTGCTTGGGTTGGTTGGGAAACACAATGTTTTTCCTTCTTCTTCCAAGGCCTTATCCCGGATATACTAACTGCCAATATTGTAGTATAGGTAAAGTAGAAGACGAGGTACATTTTATTGTGGATTATTCCATGTATGACAGTGAAAGAAACGTTCTTTTCGATTTTGTGTCAAGCAAATACTCCCAATTTAAGTATTTGAATAGTATAGAGAAATTTATATTCCTTGTAGTCTTTAACAAACCAGCTCTAACTACTCATACAGCCAACTACATTTACAATGTATAAGATTACCAGAAAGCGAGAGGAAGTTGAAATTACTTGTGTACTATAGCAGTTTTATTATCAACATTGATGTACTTTGTCCATATGTGACCTGTCTTTAGCCTAGTGGGGCAAAATGTACAATAAAGGTCTTCATTCACTAATAAGGCCACACCAAGTAAATTTTATGGATGACGTCCTTTGAAGACCCTATACCTAATGCGAGAGGGCGAAAAAAAAACAAGAAGGGCCCTAAAAAACAAGATGCCTAGATTAGAAATATACTAAGAGATGACAAATGTTAGGACACAAATTGAATGAGGTGACACAGATTAACAAGCAAGAAGTCTTTTATTCATCATCAAAACAGCAATAAATCAGGTGGAACAGCAGTTGTCGTCCTGTCCTGTTTCTTTCACATTTTTGCAGGCCTGCAGAAACAAAGCATGTGCTCTTTACCCATTTCGCGTTACGTGTTTCACGTCAATCTAACAATTTGCGGCACTGTCGTGACTCTTTGGTCATAGTTACAGGAAGCGGAATTTCTTGTTTTTTTTTCTAGGAACAGGCCAAAATCAATGCGCGCGAGGACGTCATCCATAAAATTTACTTGGTGTGGCCTAATATACAAAGCTATCGAGGGTTCCTAAAGGTGGACGAATACTTTGTCGTACCTTGTTGATGACCTGGGACAGATACTCAGTGGATGGCTGTGCCTGAAACTTCTCCATACACAGTAGTGAGGACACAGAGTGTGGCAGGAGGGTGTGGACTGCTGTTACTGTGGTTGCAATACCAAACACCAACACCAGGGGGAGCCTGCTCAGGTACTGACTGTGAAAAACATTGAATATTATCAAATTTGGTATCAAAATGAGCATTTAGGACAAGAGTTTTGCCGACATGTTAATTCCACTTCACCTGCAAATGATGATGAAGTCTTGCAGCACTTGAGCTGGGAAACCTTCTAAATCCTCCATGATGATGACCAGTGGAGGGTACTGACCGTAGGTGGACTTTCTTTTCTTACTGGGAGATTTGCCTGGGGACTGCGATTTCTGTAGGAAAGGATAAAACAAGAAACTAACAGTTAAACTCCCCAAGTCTATAACCCAGCCATTTTGAGCACGTCGGCAGAATGTACTGCGCCTGCGCAGAACCCCGTAATTTCGCGTTTTTCGTTGGGTTTTTGGTTAACGATGCATCAGAATTTTTCCTGTTGCAGAGGATATTCTATCCGACACAACATTTGGAAACTACTGTCGAAATGCTAACCTTATATGAGACGTTCTGCCGAAATGCTATGTACAATACATTACAGGTTTCGCGCAGGTGCAGTACGTTCTGCTGACGTGCTGTCATTTTGCAGTAACGATTCCTTTTTCTCGGTCTCAACTTTTTTGCCCTACAGACGTAAGCATTAAGGAACAATAAGCCAACCACTTGTCCAACACTACCCCAACTGGCACTACATGTATTTTGCCCAGTCTCTAACTAGCGAGAAAAATTGGCCAGTTTGCCATTGATTTGAGCATTGCAGTTTTTGCAAAATGAAAAATGGTGCTGGCTGGTCACTTGGGGTTAGTGCTGCATACCTAAACCCAATTTTAGGTTCAGGTCCGGATTCAAGTCCAGAGGTTTAGGTTCAGTTCCGGACTTGTAAACCCATGGCATATACAAAATTGCATGTTGGCAACCTTGCAATGTTGTCTGGGTGAAACTTTGGCCACATAACATGGAGGCCGGTACTTGACGATGCCCGATGGCAATGTTTTCTTCATTTTGCAGCAAAGATTTTGCAATCTACGGAGGGTTTTAGGTGGTTTGAAAAGAAAAGGGGTATGTGAAATGGTCTTTTATGGTAATACATTTTTGTAAGTTCGGACTCGGTTCTTGACTTTTAGGTTTTTTTGGACTTGAACCTAAACATTCTTACAAGTCCGGATCCAAGTCCAGTGAACCGGTATGCATCACTACACTTGGGGTGGGGCAGTCTATTTGTAAATTGGAATTTGTCACCATAATTTTGTATAAGAAGATCACATGTCTTGTCTAAGATAACTTTTCCTCATTGGACTGACCTTGACTAAATCAGCATACCACCCGCACAGCACGGGCATTGTGGGACTGATCCTCTTTACCTGCACCTCATCATCATCATCATCTAGCTGTGGATAGAGATCACCATGGTTACCAATCAACATGTCAGAACTAACAGGACATAACAACAATGATTACCTCCAATCAATAGGGGACACAAACTTTGGTTAGCTGTTGCATCAATGGGATGAGTATCATTTCGTAGTCGATTGTACGTTAGGCCACATCAACTTAATTTCCTGGTTAATGGATTTTTCTAGAAAAATAATGGAGCGGGCAGGCGAAAAAAATAAAAAAATAAAAACATACGTACAGGCCTAGGCATCCTATTATGGCCCAAAATGGTACGATAGGAGCCATGAAGTCAACACACCAGGCTGGTTCAAAATTTAAACAATGAATTTTGAACTTTTAATGATACCACTGCATTGAAAGATGGAATAACTACTGTAACAACTAGGAAGAAAATGACTGTTTTCAACTGTTCAGGGGAAAATATGAGCATTTTGCAGTTGATTCTGAATTTTTATTTTTATGTGCAAATCAGAAAAAAATGAAGCGGGTGAATCTGTTAACCAAGAAATTAAATTGGTGTGGCCTTATATAGTAATGAGAGAGATTTCCCATATTCTTATATGATAGATAAGTTCCCTAGCTTTGGACATTTAAATGAAGCAGAAAAATTCATATTTCTTATGAAACTTGACAAACCATATATCACTAGTTCTATATGCTCCTACATCTATAACTGCGTCAAGAAGCGAGAAGAAGTTGAACATGTAAATAGTAGATCACATTAGTATGTATAGTTAAAGTGTAATTGCTGTATCCTTTTTCCTTGTCTATTCATGACCTGTACTTAGCTTGTTAGAGCACAAATGTACAATAAAGGTTTTTCATTCATTCATTATTATTTATTTTCATTTTCTCAGGATTGCTTACCAAATCCTTGTTCCCCATAAACTGCATGATGACTTTGGACATGATGTTCTTCATAGCTGCACACAAAAGTTGTAAACAAGTGACATTCATACTAGCAACATATATATACAGGTTGTACTTATACATACATGTTGGCAACGATGTAACATTTCCTACGATATAACATATATATAATTATGGGTTCACCACACCACGAAGTGGTGGTGAACCCATATTGCTTTTTCTGATGTTTCTTCTCCTCCTTCTCCTCCTTCTCCTCCTTCTCCTCCTTCTCCTGCCATTTTTTAAATGGATTCAGCTTCTTCATTTTAGGGCCTAAGGTCCTGAAATTTGGTATGGAGGTACAGTGGGCAAATACCCCTAGGCGTTTTTTAAATTTTTGTGATACAGGCTTTTAGAATGGTTTTATTTGAGTTTTTTGGCTGTGTTATAGCAAATGTATTACTGTGTTAGTGGGCCGTGTTTACCACGTCTGGGCATGAGTCATCACAATGGAATGCAGGGCATCAACCAATAGGCATGCAGCTTTCCTCTATACTTCTTGCTGATTGGCTGTTGGGATTTAACTTGATTAACACCTGCACCTATTTATTTTATGCACAGAGCATTTCCACCTGCACAGAGCATTTCTTGCTGATTGGCTGTTGGGATTTAACTTGATTAACACCTGCACAGAGCATTTCCATACTGACAGTATGTCTTTATTCAAGTGTTTTGGTAGGTATTTCAAGCTTTTCTGCTCCAGCATTGGAATGCGGGGCATGAACGTTTTTTATCTTATTTTGAAAATCAACAGTTTCCATTATGCAATTAAAAATCCTAACCAATAAAGTAGGGAATAGCTATCCAACTGTTGTTTTAGTTGTATGTTACTTCATATTATAGTTATATCAAATGTAAATCATTGTTTTCCCTTGTGTTTCTCATTCTTTCCCTGCCATGTGGTAAAATGTGGTGAACCCATCGCTGTATTTGCTCCAAAGCAAATATTGGCCTTTCTAGTTATAACAAAGTCTTGAACACGTTGAAGCTTCAATCATTATGGCTTTTTCCTTGTTCTGAGGAAACACTTGAACACTCTAGGCCACACCAATTAAATTTCTTGGTTAACGGATTCGCCCGCTTCATTTTTTTCTGATTTGCAAATAAAAATAAAAATTCAACTGCAAAATGCTCATATTTTGCCCTAAACAGTTGAAAACAGTCCTTTTCTTCCTAGTTGTTACAGTTATTCCATCTATCAATGCGGTGGTATCATTAAAAGTTCAAAATTCATTGTTTAAATTTTGAACCAGCCTGGTGTGTTGACTTCATGGCTCCTATCGTACCATTTTGGGCCATAATAGGATGCCTAGGCCCGTTTTTTTTTTTTTTCGCCCGCCCGCTCCATTATTTTTCTAGAAAAATCCGTTAACCAAGAAACTAAATTGGTGTGGCCTTATGGCAGATGCATACCATCTTCAACACAAACGATTGCCATCTTCAGGAACATTGTTCAATCACATAAACATAATATTACCTGAACAGTCTTTTGCCTGCAGCCTGGCTACATAAGGTGTGACGTTGTCCTGTAGTAGAGAAGCCAGGTTGGAGAAGATCATTCCATGATCAGGCATGTTCACACCGGTGACCAGGGCTGCCGTAGGGATCTCATTTGATGATACCTGGAAAGGGAATGCACATGTTTTACATAACTAGAGGTGTACTACAGGGAACCCTTCTTGGCCCAAGGAACCAAGCTGCAAGATTCTATTCGGACAACTAATGAAGGGGCCCTAGTCAGAAATGAAGACAATTACCTACAATGGATGTCACTGGAAGACAGGCAAAAAATGTCCAGACTATGCATGATGTACAAAATGACTAATAAACTGGTGTATGTACCAACTACCAAGTACTTTAATGCCAGCTCGGAAAAGGACAAGAAATAGTCGTGCCTTCAACTATCAGAGTTATTAACCAAGAATTGAGGTGTTCAAAAACTCTTTTTTTTTCCTAGAACTATCATAGAGTGGAACTCACTGCCACCAAGCGCAGTTGGGGCGTCATCACTAGATAGCTTTAAACAATGTTTAGGTTTAGATGTTCAAAGACTATGTGTAACAAGTCATTTAGTGTAGTATTATATAAGCCAGCTGCCACCATGCCAGGTGCCTCCCAAACTGGTGTTACACCAAGGGGTGGTTATACCGGCTATACAGGTACAGAATACAATGTATACAGAAGCTGGTGTGTTACAGTACACCAAGAGGCAGTTATACCAGCATAATTTTACAGATACCTTGTGTTTAACTCCCTCCTCCAGACTGAATCCTGGGTGTGTAGTTCCGACATATCCCACCAGATCATCAAACACCTTCTTGTGGATATCTGTCTGTAATGCCTGTTGTTGAGAGAATGCACAACAGGTGACTTGAAGTTCAATATACAAGGTCATAAATGCTACTAATTGATTCATATTCATAACTAGAAAATTATGCATAATTTACCTCCACATAGTCTATCCTAATAAACTACTTCTCTGTTTATTATGGGTTCACCACACCACGAAGTGGTGGTGAACCCATATTGCTTTTTCTGATGTTTCTTCTCCTTCTCCTTCTCCTCCTTCTCCTGCCATTTTTTAAATGGATTCAGCTTCTTCATTTTAGGGCCCAAGGTCCTGAAATTTGGTATGGAGGTACAGTGGGCAAATACCCCTAGGCGTTTTTTAAATTATTGTGATACAGGCTTTTAGAATGGTTTTATTTGAGTTTTTTGGCTGTGTTATAGCAAATGTATTACTGTGTTAGTACACTGCCTTGTTTACCACGTTTGGGCATGAGTCATCACAATGGAATGCAGGGCATCAACC